GACAATATCTCAATCTAATATATATTATATCAGACATGCTTTTTCGTTCCAAACTTAATATAATGAACACAAATACTTTCACTATGTTCATATAGCATAAACTGAAAGAAAATAACATATTATCTTTGGCTAACATAATATCATCTTTAAATGCATTTTAAAAAAATCAGAGTTTCAAGTGTGAACTTTACTCGATCACTATGATTTGGAAAATATGTTTGCATCATATTGATAGCACTTATGTCATCTATACAAAAATACATGTAGTGTACTTTATTTGAAATTAATCAACATGGAAAAACGACAAACATTTTATTATCATTAAATCCCACAAGTGTATGTGAAATTTAGAATAGAATATGTTGGCGTATTAATAAAGCGTGATGGCGTCAAATTATAGGTACTTTTATTAGTTCTTGAAAATAAACATTGGACGATGTTATTAAGAGATTTTATAGATGCCTGAATACTAAGATGTTGTAATAGAGGACATAAATTAGTCAATAGCCTAATTAGCTGTTAATGATTAATCACCTATAAGATTGATATTTACTATTTGATTTTGATTTGATAGCAAACGAAAAGTTTCACTTGTATGTTTCAGTGAAATTTTTCTTGGCATCAATCTCAGAGATATCAATGTCAACGTAGGAATATTAGCAGCGAAGCGCAATATTTCAACTGACTGGTCGAATTTTACATAATTAGTGCTAGTGGTTATTTCAGTTAGCTGTGATGTCGGAATCATGCCTTGAAAATCATCAAGTACGAGCTGCTTATCAAGATTAAAACCATGTTCGTAAAAAATCAACTTAGTAGCGTTTGAACAATATTTTGAGCAGTTGCGTATAACCATTTCATCATTAATGATGACATAATGAACTGAATCAAGATTAGCTTCTTTCATTTCTCCTTCAGAAGAAACCAAAATCAAATGAATAACTAATACTCAACTAAGATCAGTCGTTTTTATCTATATAGTTGAATTGAACAAGATGTTCAATGGAAATTTTTGTATTTATAGAAATAGGCAATAGCTTCAGTGGATTACTTTCTTGAAATCATATTTCACAATATTTTAGCACGAGTAACTGAAATATCAGGTTGTAAGTATTAATTTTATTTGAACCGTAACTAATACGAATAGTTAACAAAATAATTTTGAAACATCTTCTTTTGATGAAGAAAACAAAAAAAATCGATAATAAATGGATTCGATAAACAAAGCGATTGAATTTGATATTTATTAAGAAAAATAAAATTGGTATAGTAACACTGAAGCGTTGACTTGAATTGGAAATTTGAATGCATGCAAGGATATCGAAACCATATGATAAAATTACAAAATTTTTCGGAGATATGATAAGGATCAAGATAATCGAAAATTTTATAAATAGCTTCTTTTAAACAATCCCCAAAATTAGATAAAATCTTAGAAAAAATTTGTGCAACGTTGTAAAGATGAAGATTTTTTATACGATTTCAGTCTGGTCGTAGACAATGATACAAGAGCGCATACATAACCTTGTATTATCTTAGTATTTGATTGATGAATCTGGGTAAGTGTTAATCATTATCTTGTTATTCGACTGTTTCAGACAAAAGCAAAACTGTGAATTCCATTTTTAATTATGTTGATTTCTTTCATGATATTCACTCTCTCTCTCTCTTTTACTGATGAGAAAAATGTTCCTACTCCTTCTTTCTTACGTAAAACCTAACACCAGCGAAAGTGAACAGAATAATTTTCCGTAAGATTAATCGAGAAACAATGAAAAAGAATAAAAAATATACTTCTTCTTAATATTCTCTCTTACTTAAAGCTTATTCTCATTTATTGTTGATAATCTGCCTTTTTCACTTAATTACTTTGACAAAAACAAAAATCAACGCTTAAACTTACATATAGATACTACGCTCATAATACCTTCTTTGCTCTGTTGATCAACCTACAATGCCACAGTGTTGTGACTGGTAAACGTTTTTTCTTAACGATACCAGTCTAAATCTGTTGAATCAGACAGGTCGATAGACCTACATGAGTCGCAGTACGAGTCATATCAGCTTCTTAATTATTCGTATTTATATCTGAAATACTAAATTAATTCAATAAATTTTCTGCTTCAACATCGTAGAGCTGTGTACGAAATCTGATTCTCAACGCGTTGAACTATATGACGAGAAAATTCATAACATCTTTTTAATAAGATTTCTACGAGGCAGAAAATCGAAAGTTTCGTATTTCAGAATATCTAGAGAGATTAAGACAAAGGTATCTCCCGTAATTTCTTACTTATATAGAGTATATTATTAGCCTGCATCAATTACACATTAATTCGAGTGCAATTTATGTAATTGTATCCGACAAGAAAGCTCAAATACTTTATTGTACTTCACTCTTGTTCAACTTTTGAAATACGACGAAGTGTGTGGCCCTTACTAACATATATAGTAGAATTCAAACAACTAATAAAATGTAGCGAATTGTCAAGACATTTCATTAGAGTATACGAAATTAAGAGAAAAGTTCAGAGTTTTCGCTTCTTTCCTCTTGCGTTTTCTAAATTGTAAAAAGAGCTCCATTTTGTTTAATGTTTTAATCTCATAAGAATTATGCTATAAGCATTTACGTCAATATCTATGTCTATAAGTTTTCTTTGTTTTTGCAGCTATCGATAGATATATTTTCATAGAACTACAAATTATATATTAGTTTCGTACTTTAATGAAATGTTCATTAGATAAAAATTTGGAACTAACGAGAGAACATATCTGAATATCCCCCTTTAAGAATGAGTTCAAAAGCATTCTATGTGTCAGGTACCCCGATGAATATTTCGACTATCAATAGCTTAGCTGCCCTCATTATATATCTACTAGGTTGCTATGTTATCAAAAACGATAAGTGGTCGATCATATGAATATTTACTTAAGAAACATAGATGTGACGTCTTCACTTATGATAACGAGATGCCTCCTCCATATCGACTTATATTCATTTCAAGTTGTTTGTTCCCAAAGAAAACTGTTTGTTCTTGCAAATTTAACAAAAATTGAAAAGGACATGATGCATCTACTAGTAAGAAAGAGCTTAAAAGTGAAAAAGTTTGATACTCGAGGTATTATTTGAGATCCCTAACTTATAGAATGCTTATGAATTCATTGTCAGGGAGAAAACTCAAACATGTTCTCTCATAAGTGTAGATGCACTGACCTCTGAGAAAGATATGCTATAAATAATATGTTACGGTCTTTTTATTTATTTCTTGCAATCATATTTTCTCATAAAACGAAAAACAAAAACTAACTAATAAAAGAACCAAAGAATGCTCTCTCTCTTTCTCTTCTTTCACAATGTGCGTCTTTGTTTATTTTCAGAACAAAGAGATATCATGGAGCCATGGGCGGCGCAAGGTCAATTTTGTAGGGGTAGCAATAAACTGTTAAATGAGCTCTATTTTCCATCCCGTGCTCAGTCCGATGTAAAAAATTGTTTTTGCCAGAATTTAACTTCTTGAAGGTACTGTGTGGAAAGTTCGGGCATTAACTCGTCTAGTTGTGTGTTAAGACCATTTTAATTAGCCCAGGTGAATGAATCCGACAATGAATGCGATCGAATCTGATAGGATCCGATCAACCGACAAAGTCCGATTGGAATCCGGGTTGCGGACCCACTAACGGATCCCTAGTGTTGGAATCCGGCGAGCACTCGACCAAATCCAACAGTTGGATTCGATAGGAATTTTAGTAGGCATATTCCGACGAGATTCCTGTAGGATTCTATCGGATTTCGATCGGATGCCAACGTGGGATCCGTTAGTGAGTCCGCAACCAGGACTTCGACGGAATCTAGTGGGATCCGACAGAATCCGGAGAGAATCCGATGAGATTCACTGTCAGTTTGTTCGTCCTGGGAGCATATGCACTTTTTATTGAGTAGATTTATTTAACATAGTTTATGAAACACTGAAGTTTCAGATTTTTTTTCTAGAATACCCAGGAAACGTAAAAAATTGGAGGAAGCATTAAGTTCTTATTGCTTCTAATAATTTATTTTAGGGGTAGCAATTTCTAACCATTGCATTGCTGGCACGCCGCCTATGGTGATGCAAATGAATATGGGCGAATGTATGTTGTCGTGATATGAATTTCAATATGTACAAATAAATCAAATTTTTAAACGTGTCCAACAAGGATTATTGAATTGTGATATTATATTGACTTCACCAGAAGATATTCTCTCATTTGATTTACTCACTATTGATAAATGTCGAAGAAATGAATTTGATATTGGTCGTTCTATGTTAACAGTTCAACGATGGTTAAAAAAATATGTTCGTGATGTATTAGATGAATCAGATGAAATTTTACATGTTAAATATCACTTGATTTATAGTGTTGGTGGTCAGCAACAAGTTGATGGAGGTGCAAAACGTTGGAAAACTATTCAAACAATTCTTGAATTAGTTAAAAAACATGCTGTCAATATTTCAAAATGTTTCTATGTAAATGTTTGTTACAAACCATCTGAACGAGAAAGTACATTTCCACAATTTCGTTTACAATCATATGAACCATTTCCATTACTTTGTCAAAAAATTGCAAATGATTAGATCGATAGTAGAAATTATCGTTATGCAGATAAACTAATTATATTATCATTTATTTTAGAAGCACATTCTTCTGTTGAATATCTCGTTCATAAATTTCCACGTCTTGATCTTCAATTATTTCTCATCATTCGTGATTTATTATCATCCGAAGTTTTATTAGTTGCTTTTACAAACAGATATCGAGTTAATTATGGTGTCAACCCAAGTTCTTCTTTTAATCGTTTAATGGCTGTACCATTTCGTGCAAAAGATGTTGTAACTGATAGAACCGGATTCAGTCATCCAGATGTTGCCTTAGTATTAACACAACTTTCATATTACTATTCAGGTTTAAATGAAGAAGAAACTGATCCTGCATCGATTTATGATCAATGGATTTTATATGAAGATGAAAAATATATACCAAAAAGTATCAAACAATGGAATGAAGTTAATTTAAAAGATTATCAACAACAATTTGATTATCTCTTTCCAACTTTTCGACATAGTATGTTAGTTATTAATTATTTTCTTGATTACTTTGTATTTCCTCGTGAAGCAAAACAATTTCCACATAAATTAGTTGCCTCTGTTGGGAATTTATCTTCATCTTTACGATCAGAAATAATCACTGGATTTAGTGGAACGAAT